TCAATTGCATAGTTCATATCTCTTATAGAGCATATTTTCCTTGTCTCCGTGTTATAATGTGTTATGTAGTTCTCGCGATACCGGCCTTGTGGCGTGAGTCAGGCGGCGGCGCCGCGCCGTCTGACGCGCGCCCTGCTCGATGCCTCGCCAATTTAAATTCAAAATATTTTATACAGCACTAGCGGCTCACCCTCGCTTCGGTCGGGTTCGCCTCTAGACAAACAAAAGCAAATCTATCCCACGGGAACCATACATTTTTTCGGGTGAAAAAGTAGCTTACTTGTTATTCTGATGTATGAACTATATTATTGTAAAGTTTCATTTAAATCCAATCAGTAGTATTGTGTACTAAGTTGTATAAGTTACTATAGCTTTTTAACAATCCCACGGGAACTCTTTAATTTTTCGGGATCAAAAGTATCTAAAATGTTGACAGGGGATATAAGGTACCTACCACCATGCAAAGTTTTATTTAAATCGGTTCAACAGTTTCGGAGATTAGCCCGTACAAACAGACAGACAGAGAAACAAAAAAATTGAAAAAAATCTGGACTTGTTCTATTTCTCTTCTTACACATCTTAAATTTATATATTAAAGTTACTTCCTATTATTGATTATTTTGTACCAAAAAAAGAAAATGTCAATGTACGATCGATGATTAATTGCAATAATTGGAAAACTATGGACTAGAAAGAAAAATATAATAAATATAATAAAATTAATACAATATAAATTGGGGCAAATGCGAGTCTGATGGCCGATTTCCCCAACGTCTCCTAAGTTTAAGGGATCCCCTAAGCATGGTTAGGGGGCTGTTAGGGGACAGTTTCTGTTTCACCGACAGTTAGGGGTCCCTAAATCTTAAAATGCCCCCTAAACATAGGTACTAGAAATACTGGCTCTGACGATGGTAATTTCACGAAATTTAATTTAGGGGCTAGTTTAGGGGAATTTTTAAACTAGGGATCCCATACGTAGGTGGTAGCTTATGGGATGTTGGTGAAATCGGGCATGAGTCGCGCACTGAGGGTTCCGCAGCCGTACGTACTCGTAATTAGAGACATAATATATATTAAAAGTAAAATAAAATATTTAGTTACCTACTGATTAAAAAATAATATTTTACTGAAAGGATAACTTGAAATTTCATATATTTTCATGAGAAGATATTTAAGTTCGCAACGTAAGCGAAGTACCTACGAGTACCTCTAACGTAACTAACAAAACGTATAACAAAAATGTAAGTTCTTCATCTATACATATAATTGTACTTGAACATAAAATTGATTTTTTTATGTAAAATCGACACGGCCGTAAAAGTACATTGTTTATTCAAAATGCGGGTTTCACATTTTTGTAAGATTCCACTCGCATGGAGGTTGCACAAATTAATCTTGTATTATCATACCTACCAAATATAAAAAAAACCCATTAAAATCAGTCAAGCCGTTTCGGAGATGTACGACCACAAACACCGTGACACGAGATATTTATATATTAGAAGAAAAAGATTAAATAGAATAAGGACTTCTGAAAATTGTGAGTAAATCAAGACCGTATCTCCATAATTAAATATTAGGTTATGTGCGTAATTACACCATTGTTTATCTTGCTTGGTAAATTTCCAATTAGTCACTTCGTGCTCATTTACTAGACGAGGTTAACTATTGCAAAAAATTCTGAAAATTATCATACGTATGCAGTACTCGACACGATTCAACGATTAATACTTATATTATTTCTATCTGCTTATCTATAAACATATCTACATATATACGATTACCACTTGTTAATATGGCGAAGGAAAATATTGTGATGAAATCTGCTCGTCTGAGAGAACCTATGGAATTTTTTGGAAAGGCGTGTGACGTCTGCAATACACAGTTTGCTCATTGGCCTCATCCTTCTCTGAATTTATGTTATATTCTATGTAATAATAAAAGTAGGTTGTTACAAGATATTATTATTTACGCATCTAGAGCGACTGTACTGATTTTAATGAAACTTAAAATATAAACTCTAAAATAACCTTAAAATTAATGGTTCCACTCTTAACACTTAAACGTAACATATACAAAAAAAGACCACCAATATTCCCTCTCTTTGAAGTTTATCAAAAAGTAAAGTAAGTTCTATTTATGTAGGTTGAATACATCCAATGATAATAAATTTCTCATTCCCGTTATTATAAATCACGTCTATAAGTATTTGTTTTGTAGTAAAAAATATTAATAGATACAAAACGTATTGCCTGGGTGGGTAGGTACTAGGTAGGTACCTGATGTCTGATGCTATTTGTACTAACTTTCGCGTTACTAATTTCAAAAATGATGAGCTTCCTTATAATTTATATCCGCTTTAGATAATGAATTTTTAAAAATCTATTTTCACTTATGTCATCTAAGAAACTCGTGTTAGATGAAACATCATTGCTATGAGATTTGAAAAAAAAATTAGGTATAAGGAAAAATATCACTTTGGAAATTGAAATATTATTTAAAAAACTGAATGACAATGATATATATATATATATATATATATATATATATATATATATATATATATATATATATATATATATATCTCTCTATTTTTCAGTATTTAATATATCTGATTCAAATGCATTTTAATGTTTTGGAATTGATTTTAATATCCCAACCTATATATGATCTTTAAAAAATGACTATACCTACTATAAAAAAAAATTATATTAAAGACATATTTCACAATTTCATAGCAAAATTAAGTTAGCTTTGTAAATTTCTAATACGATGCCAATATAGCAGCCGGAGGAACTTGCTCGGAAATCTTTTAAGGCCGGACATGATGAAAAATCGCGCGAGTAGCCCTACTCCAGTGGCGTGGCGGCGCGGCGCGGTGGCGTGATGCTCGCATACCACTTTCTGCTCCACTACCTTTCTTATGCAAACTGTAATCCATACTTGTGTTGCTTTATTTTCCTTAAACTAGAGTTACGAACGAACAAGATAGTTATGTTTCAAATGCTATACATATTTTGGTTTATACAAGTATCTAGTGTATATAATGCCGTAATAGCAGTATAATATAGCAAGTTGTTGTGAAGGCAGGTGGCGTACAATTATATTCAAATTCAAAATATTTTATTCAACATTAAATTGTTACAATTTTACTGAACGTCATGTGTCCACCGACTACATTTATACCAGTAGCACTGAGATGAACTTGGGTGGAATATTTAAATCCATTCACATGATCTTTGCAGAAAGTTCTTTACAAATATTTGTTTAAACTTAATCTTATTTTTTAATAATTCAAGTCCCTTTATCTTAAAAAAAAGGTTATTATTTCATTTATTATACAACTTTATTTATTTTATAATTCATTTCAAAATAAATTCAAACTTCAGTCATACAGAAAAACATGAGAAAATCAATGATATACAATAGAATCAGGATGACTACATACATTAGTTATAAGTACGTGTATTGCAATTATTAAAGTAGTTGAGCAAAGCGTTTTAATTAGAGTAATCAAGACCATCGTGTGTCTAGACGAGTAAAAAAATGTCACGGATCCTCTTCATACTGCTTACCGTTAGTGACAGCGTCAGCCCGGAGAGAGGCCAACATAATAGGGACCTAATGCAAAAAATATTTTGCGTCAACCGACGCTTTTGTTTACCTTTGTTATGTTTTTTATATAGTTTGTAAGATAAATAAGTATCACATACTATATGTTTTTTGTTAGTAGTATGAACTATATTATTGTAAAGTTTCATTAAAATCCAATCAGTAGTTTTTGTTTACTAAGCTGTATAAGTTATTATAGTTTTTTAATTATCCCACGGGAACTATCGAATTTTACCGGATAAAAAGTATCTAAGATGTTGCCCGCTGATATAAGGTACCACCATGCAAAATTTCATTTAAATCGGTCCAATAGATTCGGAGATTCGCCCGTACAAACAGACAGAGAAACAAAAAAATTGAAAAAAATCTGGATTTGTTCTATTTGTCTTCTTACATTCCCCTGACTCGGTTTTTACCATTTTTTTGCTATGTACAGACATTCGACCTCTACTGTTTTATTATAGTATAGGTAATAGAACAATTTAATATATTATATAATTTAAAAATAAGTATAGTATTAATTTGTGCAATAATTTATAAATATAATAATAAAAATTTATAATTAAAATAATTTATATAGAATAAGGATTTATAATTTACAATAATTTAAAAATGTAAAAATGTTATAATACAATGCATGCTGATTATCGCTTCTACACTGAATTATGTTGATTAATTAATAACAATTAAATATGTGAAATGTATTAGTTGACTAATTATTAGTAATTATTAGTAGTGAAAGAAAAGGCTTTTTTATTTTTTATTTTACATATACATAGAATATCTAGTTGAATCAGCGTTAAATTTGCGCAGCCTCCTCTTAACTCTGCCGTTTTAAAACAATTGAATTTAAAAATTTATTCTGGGAAGAACTACACTACACAACACTAACAAAATAGTAAGATGATATTTAATAGGGAATGTAACATCATTCACTGGGGTCTATTCTCTATATGTAAAGGAGCTTTACAAAGTTATGCAGGAGATTCAAAATTGAGACATAACACTGTTGACAAATAAGTAGTATTCTTACTATTTTTTGAAATGATACAGCGAATATAGCGAAGGTTGTTTTATAGAAGTTTTTTGTATAAGATATAGAAAAAAATATTAAAACCTTTATCTTGAGTTTTTGGATGTCTGCTTAGGATTTTCCATTTTGACAGTAAACGTTCATTTTTGTGCCTGAAACTTTTGTAATAATGACACCATTTTGTTCATCAAATCGTATTTTTTACATTCAAAACGGAACATGACTCATGAGACTGAAATTGGTGATTTATGGAAAAATAAGATGTGCGGAGTCTGGCAGTATCCGGCAGTGCAATGAGTGCAGTGAGAGGCGAAATCCCCAAACATTGTTCTACGAATTTACATGAGACACGCGAATGTGGTGGCGTCGAGTGCGTCGTTCGGGCGAGCCTTATGCGAGGGCAAGTAATGCGTCAACTGCGGATTGTGGTTTTTTTTTGCGTAAAAAATGTCTCACGTCCCTAACATGTAAATGGTCCTAGATTCTATTTATTCTTTGTTATATTCGTATATTCTTTCAAAGATCTTAAGAGCTAAGAAAAATGTATAAATTTATAAATGTATAAATTTATAAATGTTTTTCGTTTTGTTAAAATCGTTGTTGACTGTAGAAAGCGGCTTGTCTGAGTTAGATTATCTTTTATTTCTATTTCGGCATGGACTGTGAACAATGATTCAGGATGCCACTCATATAACACAGATCCGTAACTGTCCGTCAGACTACGCCTGTACCAAACCGGTGGAAAGTGCATTCCTACATGGATAGCACACATAAACTCGATATTATGAATAGGTCTTCGAAGAAAATTATACAATACTAGCATTGCCCGCGGCTCCGCCCGCGTTCAGATGACCAAAAACTAAATTCTTAGGTGTTACATATTAGTATACTCTTACATTGCAGTTTTTGTATTTTTCCTCAGAAATAAGATATTTTCCCGCGGTAAAAAGTATCCTAGGATCGCGCGCTACATCGCCCGGTTTATATAGCTTGAGCAGGCGGTCGAGCGATGCGGGGCAGAGGGGATGGACTCGCCGTAGGCATCTCAATGCTCGCCAAGCATTAAAAATGTTTCGCTACTAATTACTTCTAACAACGATATCTCAAAAACTATTCATCTGATTGATTTAGTGTAAAGAGCAATTTTAATCTGCATTAAATGACTAAGCTAACTAAAATATTCATTTGGATAAGGATTAATACCGAACTAAAGAAAATAACTTTGAAAATAACGTAATGTTTTTAATTAAAAATGTTAACATAAAAGTGGTTATTGTAAGTCAACCGTAAGAGATAGAGATATGCTATCGCGGACTTTTTTGTAGCATTTTTATAGATTTTGAATTCTCTAGTACATTACTTAACTGTATCTTTGCTAGTTTACGCGGCGTTCGCGTGGAAAGTTCCCATTTGGCGAGATTTTTTGCGACCTCTTCAACATTTGTCGCCGTATTTCAGCTAATTTACATAAAAGCATAATAAATTATATACCTAAACCTTCCTCAAGAATTACTCTTTCTATTGTTGAAAACCGTATAAAAATCCGTTCAGTAGTTTTCGAGTTTATCGCGTACAGACAGACAGGAGGACAGACAGGAGGACAGAAAGACGCGGCCGGGGGACTTATTTTTATAATAAGTATAGATTTTCTTGAGCTGTTTTAATATTTTGCCTTCAAGGGAGAAAACTTGTAAAATTTTCTTTTGTAAAACTTTTGTGACTGTAAAATTTATTGTACCATATGTATGTATGTATGTATGTATGTATGTATGTATGTATGTATGTATGTATGTATGTATGTATGTATGTATGTATGTATGTATGTACTTATTGTGTTATATGTACGATAAATTGAAAATTATTATTAAAACAATTAATCATATGTGGATATGCAAGAATAAAGAAGAAAAGAAGTAGAGTCTTATTATATTATATTGGTTGGTGGTTGGTTCGTCGGATGGTACTTTATGTGTCAAGCCAGAAGCCAACTAATTTCTAGTTCGCTTATCTACAGTTCACCTTTCAAATGGAAGAACTACAATAACAAACAAAATTTGCTATGAGTTGTAGTGTTAAAGACTCTTTAAGACCAGTCACCTCAGCGCACGGGGCACGTACCATAGATTTTTATATGTTGTAATCGAAAAATGTCATACAAAAACTAAAATGGTAACAAGCAATTATGCTTGGGTATTTAGGAACTTTTAGTGATAATATCTGGATTCACAGATAAGATTCTACGAATAGTTATAAAAATACGAATAATTGCTTCATTGATACATAAGAATATTATGTATGTATGTATTATTATAATGTACTAGCGACTCACCCTCGCTACGCTCTGGCTCGTACTTAGTTAGTTTTAAAGTTTAGAATAGATTTCTCAGACATGTGGTATTTTTCCGCAGTAAAAAGTATCCTGAATGTTGACCAGGATAATCAGCTATCATCATACCGAATTTCATCAAAATCTGTCCTGTGGTTTCCTCGTGATGCGTTCCCAGACAGACAGACAAAAATTCTAAAAATATAGATTCGGCCTCTGTATCTATTATGATGAGCATTTCAATAAGATTTTCCAAAAAATATTTAATGTACAGATGCGACTAAATTAGAATTTTATTAGTACTGGAATTATATAAACGAATATAGTAAAATAAAAGCTTGTAATAGAGGATGCTCTACAACGTCATAGTCATAAAAATACAAGCAGATGTTGAAAAGTCACTTTCAAGTCAAATGCAAATGGAATATAAAATGAAATTTTACAGCGCACTCAGTTGTCGGGGAACCCCGTTCATTAATAATTATCTGCTTATCTCCGAGATTTGAACTCTATTCCTTGTACATAGTGATCAGATAGCAAGTAGCGCCACTATCCGATGGCACCGTCTTCGTGCGTCAATTTGCTTAAGTATTACATTGCAAATGGAATTACCAGGATTTGTGAAAATATCGAAACTATTTATTTTAACCAGTCACGAAACGTTGACGTTGTGGCACAAATATACAGGTTTTATATTTCCCTTCTACTTATATACTCGTATGTTATATGGCGGATATTTTACTTCTAGCCAAATTTCATGATTCTCAGTCAAGGGGAAGTAGATTTTGATTCCTTTACGATTTAAAAAATATTCGGTATAATCGGCCGTATATTTTCACAGCTCGAAAAGATTTCAGACCTGAATATTTGATATTAATTTCAACTTGATACTTCTACGCGTTTCTGAGAAAAAGAGAAAAAGTGTCTTGACAGACAGATAGACAGAGAGACAGATAGACAGACATACAGATAGACGGACGGACAACGAAGTGATCCTATAAGGGTTCCTTACGGAACCCTAAAAAGAGAATCAAAAGATATTTTTTCTATATTATTTAATTTTATTATGTACAAACGTAATTTTAATAAATTCTTCCTATTATAGGTATTGCTTAATTTAGTATTTTTGAGTAGCAACACAACTCAAGATACCTCAACATAATATGACAGTAATAAGTAGATAGATATACACTATTTTAATATTCGCAGGTGCGAGGACCACCGGCAGTGTTACATATCCAAGAAATGTGTCAATCCTATCCCATGAGTCAATCCGGATCCAGGGTTCTCATTGCACATTCGCGCAGCGTGTGAGGGTGCGCGCGCGCACTCCGCCTGAATCATGCACTGTGAGAATTTGTAGCTTATCGGTGAGAATTGAGATGCCACAGCGTCGTGGCTAAGGGCTGTTGCAAACTACATGTGTATATGTATGAATTAACATAATTAGATACATCATTTGTCACTTACCACGTTTGTAAGGGATTTATGTATTAAAAGAATTGTTTTTAAAGTACTACTACTATTTTCTACATGTTCTTTTAAAGTTGTGTAATATTTTTTCACGTAAAGAGATAGATGTTTGAAAATAAGACAGTTTTTTTTACCTCAGGTCAATAGTAGCATTTTTAAAGTTATCTAACTATATTTACTACTTCTAAAACAGATTTGTAAAGGTATGTTAAGAAGGTAGCCTTTAAGATATGGGATATTTACAGAAACTCGTTTTCTTAGTTTAGCAGCCGTATAATTAATTGGTTTCTTCTGCCGATGAAATGAATATTTTATTTATTTAAAAAAATATTAATAGAAATTTTCTCGCTAATAAAATATAACATAGTTATTTATGGGCTACGGCGGCGGTGCCATTTTTCATTTTTTTAAATTCATTTTGTTAATTGTGGGTAGACTGTCTGTAACAACTATACCTTCGAGACATCTAACACCTCAGTCTCTCCCGTGACCATGAATGCTGTAAAGCATTCGAAACGTCGGGAACCAAAAATTCAAATAATTTTTTTAATGTAAATTGATAGTGCTATATCAAAAGTCTTTGCGGAGGACTTTCACAGCTATTTAAAAATAAATTTAAAGCCAATCAATGAAAATAACCCTCGAGACATTTTTAGGTAAACAGAATTAATTTTCAATTTGTTGTTTAAGAACAACGTAACAGACCAAAGTAAGGTATTTTCCCTCCTATTTGACGGTTAAGGCTTTAGGCGCATTGTCTTGCTCGCTTCGCACTATTGGCTATTCGATATAACTGCTAATTTTTTTCAAGGGTAATCCCCTTAATTGTTGAACAGACATGCATAATGTAGGGATGGGGAAAACTAAATGAAATTAGTTCTGATAGATTTGTGTTTGGAAAATTTATTATTGTTACTTTTTAGATACCATTTGTATTTGTATTATGATATCTATTTTCTTAACTTCTAAGTTCTAACCAAAAGTTTTCCTTACTAATTTAATAAGAGTAAGCTTGCTTTTCCTCTCTTTAATTTTATATTTCAGTACAGCAAGTACTTTGAGGATAATAACAATGTATAACATATACAACTATTGCAAAATTGCTGAAATGCATGAAATAATGATTGATCTCACCGCAAGGTAAGGTATGGTATTTCCTTGAGGCATGGGGAGGGGAAGGGGAGGGGGGGTGCGGTGCCCTCACTGGCGTGCCAGCTCGCCTTTAACCATTAAATTCTTTAACCATTTTACTTATCCATTCCGCTGAACTATGAATCACATGCATCTACTGAATGCAGGCTTTTACCGATACTAGGACATCGATGCCGGCAGGTATTAATTATACAACGAATGTTTCCTATATTCAAAATTACCTTTTTTTTTAACGTTGGGAAATGCATTTACGCACGAGGTGTGGGACTCACCGGCGTAATAAAGCCAGTACTACCCACTAAAACCCAACAAAACCTTCCCCCGTCTTAATGGGGCGTCGCAGGATCGCTTACGCATTCAACTACGACGCCCCGACGGCAGGTCTGCCGAAGCAGACCACCACAACCATGGGGTTGCTCCAAGGTCCACTCTGCTATTAGAGAAGTACCAGGAGCAACCCGAATGGTACACCGCCCACCGAAGAGGGCCAGCTCCCACCGCCCACCGAAGTGGGCCACCTCCCTGTGCGTTTCTTGGCTTCGCGCCCGGTTGGGTTGCCGGGCACTACTGAGCCCCCCCACCACGACAAGGTGTACGCACGTTGGGGGGGATATTCAAAATTACCTAACCCAACAAATGTAACCCAATAAATGATCTTTGACGTTAGAAAAAAAAGAAGTTTTTAGTTAGTCTGTGTGATGGTTCTTTGTATTATATAATCTTTAGAAAATGCTTTGTGTGACAATAACTTTATTTAACCATTTTTAATATATTTTCTTTACGCGATGTTTAGCTCTTAGTTTATGAATGAAACCGCTACAAATAACAACTTTTAATTTGTAATATGTGGTAGAAGTACCTACTAGTGACCGCGTGGCCGGTGTAGACCGCACAAATGTAGGCTTACTCATGAATCATCTAATTACCTACATAATTATGTACGCAGTACACACTATAAGCTATGGTCCAGCTCCGCTCGCCCTCGCTATAAGAGGTAGCTTGTGTTCACTCAACCTAACCCGGATCGACATACCCAGGGAATATTTTGTTTTAATCAGTCATTCCTGTGACCTCTACATCTCACCGAGAAACCTTTTTGTTTCTGGATCATTTCAATCGAACAGTTTTTAAATGATTCTTTGTAAATTTTTTTCGTATCACCACGATATAAGCTCAATAAATGGTAACTTTAATAAAATATTGTTTTAAAAAAACTGACAGGACTTCAATTTTAAATATAAGTATAGGTGTTGTTGTGGTTTTGCATGTGTATATTTCTTATTTGCATAATTTTTAAAATGTTATTGAATGACGTTTTGCAAGTAGTATTATTCATTTGTTTGCATATTTACTATTTATGACAATAACACTTCTGCTATGACAGATATTTTGAACACAAAGTGAATAAACATAATCTTAAAATGCCAACAACACCTTGGCAGTCCCTCTGGTGGAGGTGCTGCACACGTGAACACTTCATGTATTAAGAGACCGTCTGCTTTATTTAGTTCCAATTCAAATTTTATATCATACGAAATTTAATGTTACTAAACACCAAAAGAATATTTAATTATAATCAAATATCTTTATACAATTCTATAGTATAATTCTATACTTATATTATTTTCTTAACTTTCGAAGCAAAAATAAAGTTCAGGAAAAGGTGTTGTTGTTCAAGTCGGTGTGAAGTATGACGTCTGTGTCTTTCTGAGGTATCATAGTTTCCACACTGATGTAAGGATTCGGACGCATTTCTTATAATAGAAATTTTTAACTTGTGTCTGCACGTACACTTTGTGCACTAATAATAGGTATAGGTATACTGCGTAGTTGGCTAGTCTCAGTGAGATTAGATGCCGCGTAGATTTCATTATATATTGTTCCGAATATTTCATTTCATAAAAATACTTCAAAAAATAAAATATTTTATTATAGGTACATACATATAAATTGACATGAATTTTTGTAAGTACATGGTGTTTGGGCCATCGCTTATTCAACAAAATAGATAGTTTGAATTCTAGAATTAGGACCCTCCAACATATTTTTAGTTTAAAACAAATTGTATTATTTTTTAACATTAACGTTTAATTTTTTAATTAATATTTATTTTGCAGGATTTGCGTATCATTATCATAAATTTCCTAAAAAATGTTTTAAACATTTTTTAATCTCGTTAAACTTTTACAATACATATGTATGTTGGATTTACTTATAAAGTATAGAGCTATCAGATTACTAAGTGCAGCATGACCTTAGCCATTATAGATGATAGGAGCGAGGCGTAGAAGTTATTTACAAACTATTTAAGCCCACAATACGTGCTTAAGATCAGTATAATATTATGGTACCGTCATAATTTCTATTTAAAGGTACTGACATGTAATATGATAGATTTCATATTGTGCTATTTGTGGGACGTCCTCGTAACAATGGAACTAGATCACGTTAACATCTTACGTACATGTGATGTCGCTCGAAATAGTGCATTCTAATGCTATCATATCCCTGAATACATCAATATGTACTTACCTATTCAGGGATATGATAGCAAGATATCAATATATTGTTTACATTTTCAACAATAAATATGTTAGGAATTCTAGTTTAATCTAAGATTTCTATCTATTGTATCTATTCAGCCTTTTTTAACGTCCCACTGCTGGGCACGGGCCTCCCTTCAATATCGATGAGAGGGATCAGGCCAAAGTCCACCACGCTGGCCAACCGCGGGTTGGAGGACTTCACATTTCTTTCGAAAACTTGTTGGGTTCTCTCAGACATGCGGGTTTCCTCACGATGATTTCCTTCACTATGCATAATATGTTGAAGGCCGACAGTAAAGATGAAACTTAGATGCTTCTACATATATGGTGTTGGTACATAACCGTAAAATGTACCTAATGTAATTATAAATTAGGTAGATTTAAATTAGAGACAACGCCGGACGTTTCGGGTTGTATTTCTATATTGGGAATCTTTATATATATAATTCTTCTGTGAGTGTGTATGTCACTGAACTTCTCTCAAACGACTGGACCAATTTTGATGAAATTTTTTGTGTGTGTTCAAGGGGATCTGGGAATGGTTTAGATTCACAATTTGAATAATAATTTTCATCAAAAAAATTATTAAAAAAAGTTTGAAATTTTCAAATTAAAGACGTGTAGACAGGACAACGTCTGTCGGGTCTGCTAGTATATGTATATTTGTACTGTCCCTGTAAATGCCTGTCTGTTTGAAATATTCGATCTTAGATTATCTCTTAGTTTTTATTGATTTTTAAGGGAGCAACAAATTCTCCTTCTGGATGGACGAGCGACATGTTTGTGTTGGTTTACAGTTCTTTCATGATGTAACGGAATAATATGGCAACGGCTAAAAAAACTTTAATATTTCGGTATGGAATATTAAACATATTTCATAAACGTATCCAGATACAAAAACTACTTCAGCGAGATATTAAATAAGTTTTTTTTCCATATATTTTGATGTTTAAATATTCAAGGACAAACAACATCCTAGTAAATATATTAAATCATTCGTTGACTCAATCGTGCTCTACCGTAAATTACTACCTACGTCAAGTTCCACCGTACTTCGTGAATCACTATCAAAAGTAACGGTACTTGATAAAAACCCTCTCCCGAGTCTCGCCGGCTCCCGTGACTCATTTGAAATCCCGGAACGCGTAGACTGGAGCAGTGACGCCATGCGACAATTAATTGATGTCTGCAGCTTGTGATTAAGATGCCTCGTATCTGCAAATCATAGT